GGATTTCATGGATTTAATGGATGTGAACTTCTTTTCAATAATTTAGAATAACTTAGAAATGAGGCAAGCAAATGAGCACTTTTAGCAAAATGATCTAGCTCTGGCAGTAGCAGCCGTCGGCGGTGTTCTTCTGGATCCAGTCCAAGAACTTGCTGACCCTGGCATAGACACCCGGCGCATTCTTCTGGGCACATCCGAAGCCGAAGGACACCACGCCGGCCAGCTTGTAGCGCCCCTCGTTGACGATCAGTGGGCCACCACTGTCGCCCTGGCAGGCGTCCTTGCCACCCTGCTGCACCAATCCTGCGCAGAGCATCACCTCGGCGATCTTGTCCTTGTAGCGCGTCTGGCGACACTGCGAGTTGGTGATGATGGGCACATTGACCTCCTGCAGATAGTTGGAGGTGACACCGCCCTCCTTGATCAGGCCCCAACCAGCGACCACAGCCTGGAAGCCATTAAAAAGTCAATAACTCGGTCATAAATTTGTACAAGTACAAAAGAACTACAGGTAAACTAAACTAAATAGGTCAAGATGTGATAAAAATCCCAAAATAATGGTCAGACTTTTGGTTTTAAATGTCGTGTGTCTTGATTGCCTTAGCTAACTATCAGATTTAGATGTTTTCTTTATGGACTCGTAAACATTTTATATATGCCCTGAAAACTTCTATTCACGCCAACATAAAATACAGCATAGCAAATAAATCAAGAATAGTACTCACAGTTCTGCCATCAAAGTTGTGGTTGGCCTCGGGCAGGCAGACAGGACGCATGTTTCCAGTCAGCGGAACAGGGGACTCCAGCTTGAGCAGAGCCACGTCGTTGACAATCCGAGTGGGATCGTAGTTGGGATGCATTGTGGTTTGGATCACCTTGCGCACAATGCCAGGATCCCGGGAGGATCTGTCGATCTGGAGCAGCCGAATGGTGATCTGATCCCTGTTTCCGTGCACACAATGGGCGGCGGTCAGCACATAGCGATCGTTGATCAGGGAACCTCCGCAGAAGAGGCGGGGATAGTGGCGACCCTTGACCAATTGGGCGGTCCAAGGATACTTGTTGGAGCGCACCTGCTGGCCGCCCACAATTCGGTTGACATTCGGGGTGCCGCAGACTGAAAAATGCAATATCAATCGGATTTATGAGATATAGATGGAGTTCTAATGGAGTTGCTGGTACTCACAGCAGTTCTGCTTGGCGGTGCACTGATTGCGGATCTTCGGTGGTCGCGCTGCTTTGAGGGATTGCTCTGCAGGATTAACCACATCCACCACGTCGGCGAATTGCTGGACAAGGGTTTGGTGGGGAGCCTGGTACTGGTACTGGGCCAAGCTGAGGCTGATGCCCAGCAGCAGGAGCGGCAGGGCCAGGTAGATGCGCATCTTGTCCGGAGTTGACTGCTGAGGAAAGTGACAGAGTGGTTTGCCAAACGCCGGCTACTTATAGGGCCCAAACCCTTGAGTTGGCGAATTCGTTTCGAATCGCCTTTTAATAAAACTAAAAATATGAATGTTTTATTGCTTGTATAAGCCGCGTGCGCATCTTTCTTTCTTCTTTCTTTCTTTCTCCGCTTTCTTTGTTTGGCAGCACCTTATTTGCATAACACTTTATAGCGCCGCACACACACACACCTTGCGGTTCTCGAGTGCGGAGGGTTTTGTATTTTTGGCTCTGTACAACTCATCATTCTCATCCAGAACAACTTGCCAAATGGCCAAAAAAACTTGTAATATCAATTAAGGCTTTTAAGCGTGTAATGCTGAACGAAATGGGTTATTGGGAAGGGTCAATTGAAAGATCTGAATTATACGTTTAATAGCCAAACGTTAGGAAATAGCAAGATCATCCAATGACTTGTCTAGATTTCATATTTCTAAAATTTTGTTGTCCAAAAGTTCTTTAAAGACTTTAAAGTTTGGAATTCAAAATTAATGTTAAACAAACAAAAAAAATATATTCAAATCTTTTTGTTATCTTATTTTTTATTTTAAAAAATCTTAAAGAATAATGCAGAGTATATTAAGTTCGCCAAACCTCCGTCCAATTTTCCATTACAACTTTGCATATTCATGAAAGTGGAGCAAACTCGAGCGCGAGTTCACCACTTCCACCTCCCGTCGCTTTCTTAATGGACTTTTAATGCGCATCTGGAGCGGCTTAGGCATCGTCATCGACAGCAGTGCCTCTGACCCGCCGGACCTGGCCAAAATAAACTCGGGCGCTGAGTTGGCGGATTCCTGCTGGCCCACTCGAGAGTCTCTTTCTCCGCGCCAATCGGTCGCATCGAATGGCGAATGCGAATGGCAAATTGCCATCTGACCGATCGGCATTGCAGCATAAATATCCTTTAAGTGCCGGTTATCCGGTATCATCATTAACCGGAGGCAAACGCCCGCTTTCACGCTGCCGAAGATGGGGAATAATTTATAAGGCTTTGGCGATGGGGTTTGCTTTTCGGCATAATTTACAAAACGCAACCAGAACCAGGGACAAGTTATTCCCCCAGCTCCTTCTGCTGGCTCCTCGATCATATTTCTTTGTATGGAATGTCGTCGTCGTCGTCGCCCTCCACTTTATTCCCGGACTCGGATTGGCATCGAAATTGATTCGCCTGGGGCTCAGTGTCGTCCATCCAAACGCCCAAAAAATATAAATTAATAAATGCAGCGCGTTGAAAAATTGCGTGCAGTTTGAAATTAAGCAACATGTGGCACTTACATGCATGCCTTCACAAAATGAATTATGCAAGAACACAAATTTGCAGGGAATATTTAAGGTTACATTTTAGGGTGCTCTGGCTGACCTACTATAACAATAATAAATCTGCCAAAAACCCATTAAAGGTGATAGATTTAATTTATATCTAATATAGTCTGTGCTACACATATCAAAATCGCCAAAAGCTAATAGCCTAATATTTACATTTTGGTATGTTTTGCTTGGCTTCCCAACATAAATAACTTTTACTCTTATGCAAACCCTCAACGCATGCAAATGTAGGCAGCTTTAGAAATTTGTTTCTTTCGCAAAATTAGCATAATGTATAAAAACAGATCTCAAAATGCCACTATCTTGGCCCAGACTCATTAGTTAAAGGCACAACTTAATCATGGAAAGCATCAGAGATATGCAAATTCAACTCACGTCTAATTGTTGCAATTGTAATTGCCAGAAAAAGAACAATGAAAAGATCGCAGATTTCAGCATGCTCATTATGCTTTCAGCATGAATAAATACCCGAACCTCCCCCTTCTGTTTTGTGGGCGTGGCTGAGTGACAAACACGCAGCAGGAATCACTTATGACCACATATATAGGATGCAGATCATTGAACCAGACGGCACACGGACCAAGAGACCGAGGATGCCAAACTATAAGATGCCAGGTTAGAAAGGTTGAATGGCATGCCATTCACTTGCTTCTTGCTCTTTGCTTTTCGCCCGGTGGCAGTTGCCCGTCAGAGTCACTCAGTCAGTCACTCATAAATTTGCATAAGAACACTGAATTGCATTGCATTATCTAAGCGGCAGTTGCAGCTTGCAGTTTGCAGTTTGCAGTTGCAGTTGCAGTTCCAGATGCAGTTGTTGCCGCACTTATCTCGGCTGTGGAAACAATCATGGCAAAGGCAAAGATTTTAATTATTGTGTGTGACGGCGACGACGACTCCAGCTGGGAAGAACTCGGAGAAAGATGTCGAGTGAGAACACGAGAGAGAGCCCACAATTGCCTGTACACTGCAAGAAAAGTACTTAAGTACTTAAGCCTTTCAGTTTGTATATTGTACAATATTTTGAGTTATTTAATTGGAAGTTATTTGAAAATATGTCAAAAATATTGAAAGCATAAGTTTGATATTATTTATATTTGCCCAGATACATCTATCCCACTAACATTCTTGAAGTGCACTCTGGCAGACATCTGTCTTTGAATTCTCAGACTGTCTCGGAGTCTGCGGTGTGGCTTCGCCTGATGTGCTGCATTTGATAACTGCCAGCAATGAAGTCTTAGACCCTTAGATAATGAAAAGGAAGCTCGTCTCGAGTCTGGTGCACTGTAATTCAAATTAGTAACAGGCCGGCACGAAGAAAAGGAGAAAAGGCGAGCAGAAGAAAGGAAGAGAAGAGCGGTCTGGAAGACTCGTCTTCGGCTACCGAAGAATCGTCCCCTGCAGTGCCAACTGGCAACATCTTCTTCCTCAATGACATTAATTCATTTCGTATGCAAAGCAATCAGTGAGCGCTTCTCCTCCAGAACCCGCTCGTCGTCTCCGTTTTGGTCTTGGCAATTAGAAAAGAGTTGGAAAATTGTATGCGGCTGCAGATCGGACTGCAGCTCCGACTTCGACTCCGACTTCGACTCCGACTCCGACTTGGACTTGGACTGACTTTTCCGGCTGGCACTGCGCACTGATTTGCATTGCACGATTCTCAACTTAATTTAACATAAAGTAAACAAGCGCAGTTAACAAGCCAAATACAAGCCATGAGCGTGCGGGTGCCGGCGCAGCTTCCAGCCATCCAGTCATTCAGCTATCCAGGCTCGGGTTCAGATTCCGACCCTCCGTCTACATTTCCCAATCCCTCAGCCTGCCAAGGGCCCTAAGTCCGAGACCATCCACGTATGCCCTCTTCTTCTGGGCCTGCTGTCGTGTGACGTGTTGTGAAAATTCTAAAATATTTCGCCCAGCTTTCTCACAAGTCAACGCCAAACGCGAGACACTCTAGGATCGCACTGTGGTCTTGGAATACTCAAAAAACTAAAGAGCACATGGTTGAAAAATTGTAAATATTCCTCAAGTGTCATAACCAAATAAATCTTTTGTAATAATATTTGGAAACTGCTTTTCCAATTGTAACCAATTATTATTATCACTCCTTGTGAAAATGTAAAATTGCAAATATTAAAGGTAGGATCTACAAAATACGGACGAACAGAAGTTGGTAGAGGTGAAGGATTAGGTCCAGGCGAAGTAGTAGTAGAACTAATGGGTTTAGTAGTCGCAGTGGTGGTAGGCATTGTAGTAGTAGTAGGAATAGTAGTAGTAGTAGTTGTAGGCACAAAGGATGTGGTTGGCTTAGTTGGAGGAGCAGTGGGTGCTGGTCGAGGAGGCGGAGGACGACTAGTTGGATAGCCTGATCCCTGGCAAGATGGGTTTGCTGGAGGGCAATCCCCATTAGGTTCATGTTCTGGTACAAAGGGAAAATGGAATGGTTTATATGGCGAGCGGACTTTCGGAATATTCCTATGATATTCATTTGGACAGCCAGTTTTAAAAAGTAGTTTCAGAAAAAGTAACTGCTTTTCTGTGCTCTTCAGTAAAGAGGTATCGTTGGCCAGACCATTTACTTGAAATAATCTTTAAAGTATTACAAAAATATATATTTAGATCAAAGAATTGCTTACTTTTTACCTGTTGTTACATGACTGTCGATTAATGCGGAGCGCCCTAAGGCTTGTTTCTAATTCGGATAGTAGATTATCGATATCATCAAAAAGCAATGAATGTGACTCCTTATCCAGGTATTCCAAGTTTATTATTAAAAACCGTACAGTATTAATATATGAAGGTCTTACCAATGAATCACGTCTTTCCAGTCCATGTTTACTTGGCACTAAGTAAAACAATATAAACATATGCTGCCATTTGCACATTTGGTGCAGTTTCTGTTGAAGGCTTATACGTGTATGAATAAAATTTATTTTTTAAATCTCTTCGGTAATCGAGTTTGTAGGGTTAATACTAAATCGAATTGGCTTGTAAATTTTTATTAAGCGATTTTGCGTGCAACTAATATGTCAAATATTTTCTTTAATTTGTGATTACAATTATAATTTTAGTATTTTTAAAAACATTTTAATTACCATTTTTTATAAACTTTTTTTTTATAAAAAGTTTACTTACTCCTGTTCTCTTTTGTTACGGTGTAATGCAAATTTGACAGGGTTGCGGGGTTTCTACATTATCGGGTTTGACAATATCTCCGAATGGTATGGTAAGTTTGTTTTTGTTGATGTGCAATTCTTTTATATTTATGTTGGCCACTATAGCTGGATTATTATCTGGCTTATTATCAGGGATTAATCCAGAATTAGGAGGCATCTGTGATCCTGGTGGATGTCCACCTTGATTTGGTGGCCCAGGAGGCGGAATCGAGGCGGCTGGTGGGGAGGATACATTTGAATTAGGAGGCATCTGTGATTCTGGTGGATGTCCACATTGATTTGATGGCCCAGGAGGCAGAATCCAGTCAGGTAGTGAAGGGGTTAATCCAGAATTAGGAGGCATCAGTAATCCTCCTTCACCTTGATTTGGTGGTCCATTAGGCGGAATCAAGTCTGGTTGTGGGGGGTTTAATCCTGAATTACAAGGCATCTGTGATCCTGGTTGTTGTCCACCTTTATTTGGTGGCCCAAGTGGAGGAATCCAGCCCGGTGGTAATCCAGAATTGGGAGGCATCAGTGATCCAGGTGGATGTTCACCTTGGTTTGGTGGTCCAGGAGGCAGAATCCAGTTCTGTTGTGGAGGATGTAATCCAGAATTAGGAGGCATCTGTGATCCTGGTGGATATCCACCTTGGTTTGGTGGCCCAGGAGGCACAATCCAATTCTGTTGTGGAGGATGTAATCCAGAATTAGGAGGCATCTGTGATCCTGGTGGATATCCACCTTGGTTTGGTGGCCCAGGAGGCAGAATCCAATTCTGTTGTGGAGGATGTAATCCAGAATTAGGAGGCATCTGTGATCCTGGTGGATATCCACCTTGGTTTGGTGGCCCAGGAGGCAGAATCCAATTCTGTTGTGGAGGATGTAATCCAGAATTAGGAGGCATCTGTGATCCTGGTGGATATCCACCTTGGTTTGGTGGCCCAGGAGGTAGAATCCAATTCTGTTGTGGAGGATGTAATCCAGAATTAGGAGGCATCTGTGATCCTGGTGGATATCCACCTTGGTTTGGTGGCCCAGGAGGCAGAATCCAGCCCGGTAGTGAATTAGGAGGTAATACCGATCCAGGTGGATATATAGGGTACGGATACCATACTGGATGAATTATTGGACCAGGAGGTGGTGGGGCAGGTGTTGTAGGTGGTGGGGGTGTTGTAGGTGGTTGTGTTGTAGGTGGTGGTGGTGGTGGTGGTGGCGGTGGCGGCGGTGGCGGTGGTGGCGGTGGGGGCGGCGGTGGTGGCGGTGGTGGAACAAAGGGAAAGTGGTGAGATGGATGGCATCGGTAGCAGGGACGGCATCGATTGCATGGCGCCCGGAATCCTAGTCGTTCGACCTTAATTTCACCATTCACCTTAAATTGGATTTAATAAACTTAACTTTCTATATGGGCTGAGCCGGGCTTACCGAGGGGCTATTATTTTGAAAACTGTGCCTATGTGGCACAAAAAGGAAAACAAGAAGTACCATATAATTCCATTTCAACATTTAGTGTACTTTTCTTTTATGGCAAACTTTTGAATGAACTGAAACATATCAAGTTACTCAGTTTTAATACGAAAACTTATTTTATGGGTTGATTCATTATAAACGCTTTAGAAAGAAATAAGTAACAGTTACGCTTCAAGTCCGACAAATTTAGACACCATTACGAATGAATTTAATAAAAAGCTTAAAATTAGGGCTGAGATTTTCTAAAACTATATATGTAAATGGCTTAGTTTCATTCCCAGCTAAAATACATAAATATTTTTATTCTCAGTTATATCAAAATACAATATTTCTTTTTTCTATGTCTATTAAATTTTTCTTTTTAAATGTTATATTCTTATTTGTTTAGTAAATGTTTTATTGGTGACATTCTTACCATCCACAAGTAAATTATTTACATTTATATTCACCAATGAACCTTGCCAACCTGGTTTCCCGGGTAGAGAGGGAAAATTCGAAAAACTTGGTTGTGCCGGCAAGCTTGGAGGATGTACGGGCATTCCCGGAGGTTGAAGTGGAGAATTAGGTAAGCCCGGTGCACTCCAAATTGGTTGTTGCGGTAATCCTGAAGGCTGGACAGGAGGAATCGGTACTGGCTGATAAGTAGAATTCGGAGATCCAGGTGAACTCCCAGTTGGTGGTGCCGGTAATCCTGGACGTTGGTCAGGGGGGGATGGTCCAAGAGATCCCACTGGTGATGGAAGTTGGTGGGAAGGAATCAAAACTCCAGGTGAACTCCAAGCTGGTGATACGGGATGCGCCGGAGGATGGATGGGACGATTCTCAGAACCCCATGGATTCCAACCTGGTAGTCCTGGTGGTGGGAAGGGAGGAGAAGGTGATCCAGGTGAACTCCAACCGGGTGGTACGGGATGCGCCGGAGGATGGATGGGACGATTCTCAGAACCCCATGGATTCCAACCTGGTAGTCCTGGTGGTGGGAAGGGAGGAGAAGGTGATCCAGGTGAACTCCAACCGGGTGGTACGGGATGCGCCGGAGGATGGATGGGACGATTCTCAGACCCCCATGGATTCCAACCTGGTGTTTCCGGTAGTCCTGGCGGTGGGAAGGGAGGAGAAGGTGATCCAGGTGGACTCCAACCTGGTTGTATGGGTGGAGAGGCAGGCATAGGCGATCCAGGATATCCTGGATATTGGTGCGAAGGAATCGGAAACGCAGGTGGTGCGGGTAGTGTCGGAAGTTGAACAGGCGGGATTTGAAAAACAGGATAAAGGATATTTTGAGATCCCGTCGGAAGTTGTGGGATGAACCCATTTTCTGGTGGATATTCTTCAACTACCCATTGGCTCCACGGTGGGTACCAGAGGTATGAGTTAATTTCATTTTGTGGATAACACAGGTATCCTGTGTTTGGATACTTTCGGAAATGTTGGTTTATGTGGCTTGATACTGTATAATAACACGGATACGGCTGAAGTAATTTTTGAGATGTTGTTCTCTGCAGATGTTGGTGCAGAGCATTAGAAATGTCAACATTATTCGTTCCTAAATTTCTTACCGGTGATATTTGTTCATCTACTTTTTTGCTGGCTTGAACCACTAACAATAGTATAATATGAATTATCCACTTCCACATTTTGAGGGGGCATTTCAGTTGACAAAACTGAAGTGATTGTCTTTGGCTTGGCATTTTACTCATTTAAAAGTAGAACAAATGCATTACCAGGAATACATTAACTAATTTGTCATATTTGACGGAAAACTATTTGGATTACATAGTTAAAGTGTCATTTATCTTGGAAAAATTTAAGCTGAGTGACATGCTTGTATGTATTAATTTTCTCGGTCTCTTTATGTGTGATGTGTTTAGGTTTGAGTTATTGTACCACTGTGCAGCGATCTTGGCACCGTGAAGAGTTTATTAAATGCCACGACAACAGCGGCTGTTCTCAGCCATCCCCTGCAAAAAATCCTTTGTAAGGTAATTGCTCATTTGAGTTATAAACACGCACACAGCCGCTGCTGGACCCCCAGATACCCCTGGAATCCTCTCAGTTCCCCGATCCAGAGATGGCAATCGGAGCTGCCTGGAAAGGGCTGCGCCGTGGATTGTGGGCAACGTCCCCGCTTTGCATGTCTAACAATTGTTCTTCTAATTGCGTTTATGGCCAGCCGAGAGAACTGGCCGGACGCGGTCCACCCGAGGCCTCCGATGCCTTGTGAACGCAATCGGACAAGATAATCTCTGCATCGCAGCGTGCGCAATGATTTGCCGGGACCCCAAAAAGGGCTTACCCCATGGTCATGTCCGATCCTCTCCAGCTTCCACTCCCACCGCTTCTATGTGCCATGGCATGGCATAGCATGGCATGGCATGCCCCGATGCTTGCATTTGGTTGCAACAAATTGGCACAACGCATCTGCCAGACGCTGAATTGAGTCGAGTTCCTCAAATTGGCACTGGCGTTGGGGGAGAAATGCGTTACATATCGCATTTATGGGCTGCTGATTAAGTGGTGCAACAAATTGACAGCTCCAAAGAGCCTGTGGAGCACCTTCAACATCAATTACCCACAGCGATTCGCAGAAGAAACCGAATGCTGACTGCCGACCAACACTTCATTAAAAGTAAATAAGGTGTCCATGAGATATTGAGATAAATCGGTGAACGAGGGTGTTGTTCTGGCTAAAGTTCGAAGTGATGTTCTTGTGATTTCTCTAGTTTTGCTCTGATCTTGTGAGGATTTCTTGGCTAGTCAATGATAATAATATGAGAATATATAAGATACTATTACATATCAATAACTTTTGTAAGTCGAGTGCCGCGACTATTAAATACCCGGCACAACAGTCTCGTGCCTACCTATGAAAGCCCTCGACAGATCCTAAGTCCCAGGAAAAGGCAGCAAATAGTTCGTGCAATTGCCAGTTATGGCCAAAAGTGGGAAAAAAGGCGCGCGTCAAATGTTGCAGCGAAAAATACAAGGCGAATAGCCTGCAGATGTGGACCGCGGGTTACAATAACAATCTGCCAGGAAGGAATAAGGTTTGGAATGGGGTTGGGGCACATATGTGTGTGGAAAATTGAAGCCCAGCTCGCTCGCTAATGATAACTGCTGGAACTTTAAAGGCGCGAGATTGCGGCCCTAGAACTGGGCAGCAACGACGAATACGACGACAAGTGTCAAGTGAAGCTTAGATAAATTTCAAAAAGGGCAACAACATGGTCTGGTCCGTGAGGATGGAGCTGGCGACGATTGCCCGCCAGCTGGCGAAGATCAGATACACGTTAAAAACTATTTTAAGTATGAGATTTGACTAGCTCTAGGACATATACATCTCTCATTTACTGTAGAATTGGTTGTCTAAGCGAAGCTAATAAAATATATACAAATTAAGTGCCTGAATGAATTTAATATTCTTTGTGTAAACACTAAACAGTGAAGTTACAGATTTTTATAGAATGCTTTTTTGTTGAGTGTTAGTTGAAGTGTCTTGGAATGAATCGAAATGAAATGGCTGGAGAGGAAGGCCAAGCCTCACCTTGCCGTGCCGCACAAGTAGCCAACAGGCAGGCAGAGCTGCATCCTCTGGGCCTCATCCTCATCCTCTCATCTCCATCCCGATCCCGATCCCGATACCCATCCTCATCCTCTTCCAAATCGACTGAGTGGCATGCCATGACTGCCTCCGCTTCCTGCTTGTTCTGCTCGTATTTGAACTTCCAGACACGCTTTTGGCCCTTAACATTTTTGACCGTCATTTTGCCGATATAAATTCTTCAGCATCTCTTTGGCTGCTGATGCTGATGCAGTTGGCTCTGCTCTGTTCTGGTCTGTTCTTTCTTTCTGGTGGAGAGGGAAACCGCTTCGGGTTGCACTTTCTTCGTCGTGCCAGCAAAAGTGTAGATCAGCGCGAAATCTAATTTATGCAATGTACAAGAACATACAACATGTTGCACGATGATGAAAATGCGGCAGCCAGCCAGCAATATTTTTTAATAAAAAATGAAACAACAAAAAAAGTGAAGACCAAAAGCGAGCGGCAAGACAATCGAGCAACGACAACAACGACGCATGTTTTATGACTCTCATTGTCATTTATGCAAATTAGGAGTACGGCAATGGCTCTCGAGGAGCTGCTGCAGGAGCACCAAAGGCCGCGGAGCAACAAAAGACGATCGATGGCTACTTCTAAGCAGCGGCGCAAATTTCCCACCAGACCAAGAGACCAGCCGGCTGCCTCGTGGCCTAGAAGATCCTGCCTCCCAGGCCCCCAAGACCCCCATCCAGCAACCCTTCAGCTCCGATGATTATGAGCAACATGTTTTATGATATCTGGCGGTGATTTATTATCATTTGATTTAAAAAGCAGTGGACAGGACACACATCAATACATGTGGCTGGTCATAGTCTCGTGGAGACATGGCGTTATTTATAGTTTTGGCCGGGACCTTCGCCGGGCACTGGGCATTTCGATGGGATCGGGGCATGGGTTGGGGTCTCAGTTTCCTCGGGATTCCTCCGGTTCCACACCAAGGCTGGATCCTAGTTGCATTTCATGCTTATTAAAGAAATGTGCGCTTTTATGAGCGCGCCCAGCATGTTTAAGGAGGAGACAGCCTTTTGGCGATTTTAATTAGCCAACCCCGCCAGCTGGCTGATCTTATTCCGCCATGAGAGCCGCTGGACGGCTAATTAGTT